AAGCTGTCAGAAGCTATGATTACATTTTGATTCTGTTTATTTCCTTCCAACCATTGTAATGCCAATAAAATTGCTAAAAGCTCTACTGTGTACACCGATAAATGATCTGCTGTTCTTTTTTTAACTGCTATTTCATAATGCGAAATGGAGAAAGCAGCCCCAGTACGGCCTGTCTCTGGCTGCTTTGATCCATCTGTAAATATGAATAGTTTGTCTTGATAAAGGTTCATAGTCTTGAACTATTACCTTCTGTGGCATTATTTTAGATTTTTCTTTTAACATTTGTTGAAGGCTTATATCTACAGATGGCTTTTTGAATTTCCAAGGTGGCACAGTTGATAGTGCCACAATGGGGCTTACTTGGAGCTGGCTGAGGCTTGCGTTTTGTGCTTTTGCATTTCCTATCCATCCGAAACTGTAATAATTACTTTTACTATGTTCTGAACAATCTTGTAAGATGGCCTTTGTGGGATGTACTCCGCTATGCCCTTGTAGATTTATCCAATACGCCAGCATGATCTTGATCCTCCTAATACGTAAAGGCATCTCTCCTGTCTCAACTTGTAATGCAGATACTGGTGATGATTTAAACGCTCTAGTACAAATCCGAAGTGCCTGTGCCTGTTCCACATCAAGTTTTTTAAGGTTTGATTCTGATGCTGACATATATGCTAGGCAACCATAATCTAACGCTGCTCTTAAAAGAGCCTGATAGATGTTAATGAGCGATGCCCTGCTTGCTCCCCAGTCTTGCCCTGATAGACATCTTAAAACATTATTAATCTTTTTACATTTATTCCTAACCTTATCAATATGTTGACACCAGGTCAACTTCTCATCAAAAAACACTCCCAAGAATCTTACAACCTTAACCTGTTCAAGATCTTGCCCATACAGTTTAAGTAATATTGTTTTAGGACGTTTAGAAAAACATATAACTTGTGATTTTGAGATTGAAAGTTTAAATCCCCATTTATTTGTCCACTGTTCTACATTCCTTATTGCATTTTGCATTTTCCTACTTAAATATTCTATATTCCGACCTCTAACCCAGAGTGCCCCATCATCTGCATAAAGTGACTTGCCTACGTTTCCTTCAACCTGATCAAATATGTCATTAATCATAATATTAAATAATATTGGACTACATACACTGCCTTGTGGGATACCATTTTCCACTGTATATCTATTTGAATATTCTGTGCCTACTTTAACTTCTATTGTTCTTCTATTCAGGAAATCTAATACCCAATTATACATCTTGCCACTTATTCCTAATTTATTAAGTTTAATAAGAAGTCCGTCCTTCCACAGCATATCATATGCCTTTTCAATATCAATAAATACAGCAATTACATTTTCTTTATTACTTTGAGCTTTCCTAATTACTGACTCTAGGCATAGTACAGAGTCCATTGTCCCCCTTCCCTTACGAAATCCAGATTGATGTGGTGATATAAGACCATTTTTTTCAATATAATAATCTAATCTATTTGTTACCATCCTTTCCATGGTTTTCCCTAATTGTGACGTTAATGCTATGGGTCTATAGCTAGATGAGTAGTTGGACCTTCTGAACAAATGCGCCCTTCACTAAACGAATCGGTGTTTCGAATCTGACCGAGAGTCGAAGCGACTCTGACTGAACGAGACATCTCGTTTGTGAACAAACTGAACTAGGACATCTCGTTCGTAAAAAAAAATAAAATAAAATAAATAAATGTACTGTGACATCTCCTTCTTGAACCGAGGGCCTGCTGTGACGGACTAAGCGAGTGGCTGTGATATAAAAGTGTACAAATAGTGATTTAAAAATAAATAAATATGCTGTACAATGTTTTATTCATTTATTGTTTCTTAAGTAGAAATGTAGGCAAGCAATTTAATAAAGAATAAGAGATGTTTAGATTGTGTGTGTGTGTGTGTGTGTGTGTGTGTGTGTGTGACACAGTGTAGGCCCTATGTGTTTATTTATTGACTCAATAACATAAGGCACTGGAAACTTTAAACCGGTTTACTAAAAAGATCCGTTCATTGGCCGTTCCTGTATGGAGCTTATAATATAACAAAACTATTTGAATTTGTATTGTATATATTTGAATTATTGACAAGTGGCATTTATCAAAACTGAATATTATGTGGCATTTAATATAGTTCTGAATTTTTTTTACTTGAATATTGAACATTTGAAATGTATCACAACTGCATTTGTTTTATAGCAGATTTTTATAGACATGTATTTTCAAACAGTGAATTTTTTATTCTGAATTCTTTGACTGCAAATATCCCGTTTTTAAAAATACAGCTTCAAGTTTTCAAGATGAAGAGGAAATTCAGAACATCAAATTCAATATTCTAAAATTCAATATGCAGAAATTCAGATCGTACAGAAAGTAAGTCAGAGGTCATCCACAGGGAAGAGCAGATGATCTCCGAGAAGTCAAACGAAGCATTTTGGCCAATTAATAGTTTTGTCATAGCCTATAAGCTCCATATTCCTGCACTATTCAAATGGCCACTGAATGGATCTCGTTAGTGAACTGATTCAAAGATTCGAGTCACTGAATCAGAATCCCTGCCGCTATTACATTGTCATTTAAAAAAAAAAACAAGGAACAAATGAAAACACTTATACATTTTATTTTGATTTGCGTTTAATTGAAAGTGTCACGATTAGGGTTTTTTGCATAACACAAGATAAAAAGATAAAAATATGAACTGCGCCACAACTCGTATCATTACATAGATTATTGCAATGTTAGACAAAACAGCTGCAGGCTGCACAATATGACATCGTATTTTAAGTCTTACGTGAGATACGCGGGATGCATCAAGACTTTGAAAATCAGCGGTTTTGTAATATATCAGAGAAAGAGATTGAGTCATAGGTATATGTCTCCAAGCTAGCACTAATATTAATAGATTGTAATCACAGAGACAAGAGCAGCAGATCTCTTTACTAATAACATTCGTTGGGGCAGTGAAATAAATTAATTTGTTAACATGGAGAGCTTTGAAAGAGTGCTTCAGTGGTCATGGAGGAACTGACGCTACTTTGGTGCAGAAATACAAAAATAAATCATTTTATTAATTACATATGTATGGCTCATTAGTTTGCATGTGAAACGAAAATCAAGGCACTTTGAAAAGTATATGACCTGAAAATCACACACACAGCTTTTGAGCTTTCATGAAGAAAAGCTTTTGTATAGAACTATATATTCTATGAGGCTAACGTTCAAGCTGATACTGGACAATTGGTGTGTGTGTGTGTGTGTGTGTGTGTGTGTGTGTGTGTGTGTGTATCATCATGACACACAGTGTAGGCCCTATGTGTTTATTTATTGACTCAATAACATAAGGCACTGGAAACTTTAAACCGGTTTACTAAAAAGATCCGTTCATTGGCCGTTCCTGTATGGAGCTTATAATATAACAAAACTATTTGAATTTGTATTGTATATATTTGAATTATTGACAAGTGGCATTTATCAAAACTGAATATTATGTGGCATTTAATATAGTTCTGAATTTTTTTTACTTGAATATTGAACATTTGAAATGTATCACAACTGCATTTGTTTTATAGCAGATTTTTATAGACATGTATTTTCAAACAGTGAATTTTTTATTCTGAATTCTTTGACTGCAAATATCCCGTTTTTAAAAATACAGCTTCAAGTTTTCAAGATGAAGAGGAAATTCAGAACATCAAATTCAATATTCTAAAATTCAATATGCAGAAATTCAGATCGTACAGAAAGTAAGTCAGAGGTCATCCACAGGGAAGAGCAGATGATCTCCGAGAAGTCAAACGAAGCATTTTGGCCAATTAATAGTTTTGTCATAGCCTATAAGCTCCATATTCCTGCACTATTCAAATGGCCACTGAATGGATCTCGTTAGTGAACTGATTCAAAGATTCGAGTCACTGAATCAGAATCCCTGCCGCTATTACATTGTCATTTAAAAAAAAAAACAAGGAACAAATGAAAACACTTATACATTTTATTTTGATTTGCGTTTAATTGAAAGTGTCACGATTAGGGTTTTTTGCATAACACAAGATAAAAAGATAAAAATATGAACTGCGCCACAACTCGTATCATTACATAGATTATTGCAATGTTAGACAAAACAGCTGCAGGCTGCACAATATGACATCGTATTTTAAGTCTTACGTGAGATACGCGGGATGCATCAAGACTTTGAAAATCAGCGGTTTTGTAATATATCAGAGAAAGAGATTGAGTCATAGGTATATGTCTCCAAGCTAGCACTAATATTAATAGATTGTAATCACAGAGACAAGAGCAGCAGATCTCTTTACTAATAACATTCGTTGGGGCAGTGAAATAAATTAATTTGTTAACATGGAGAGCTTTGAAAGAGTGCTTCAGTGGTCATGGAGGAACTGACGCTACTTTGGTGCAGAAATACAAAAATAAATCATTTTATTAATTACATATGTATGGCTCATTAGTTTGGATGTGAAACGAAAATCAAGGCACTTTGAAAAGTATATGACCTGAAAATCACACACACAGCTTTTGAGCTTTCATGAAGAAAAGCTTTTGTATAGAACTATATATTCTATGAGGCTAACGTTCAAGCTGATACTGGACAATTGGCATGTGAAACTGTATTTAGAGTGGTTGTAACAGTGCAAAAAGATGATCTTTTTGTCAGATCATGACCTTTTTGTCTTTTTGAACAGTCCCTCTTCAGTTTGCTTACAGAGCAAACAGGTCTGTGGACGAACCACAGTGATTTGAACGCATCTGATGGTCATAATTACGGCTCAACTCGTAAATACGAATCTCCCAGGAGTACCCGAACACACCATTACAGCACCACATGTATTGTCTAGTGGAGCAAGTAGAGCCCATCCTTGTGCACTTTTGGGCTTTTTAACAGCATAAAACATGCTCTGTATATAAAACAACAATGCAGAGAGCATCCAATTGTTTCCTCTCACTTTTTCTTTCGCCATCTCACTCTTTTTTTTACAGTAATGTCATGCATTTAGCTTTGTGATTCTGTGTTACTATGTTGTGGACCCTCTTGTTCATTAATAGTATGCAAATAGAGGCAGACAGGGTGAGGTTGAGATTGAGGCACAGGCGATGCTCCACGCTCCACTCTGTTTTCTGGGGACAGAAGTCCCTGACTTTCCTCTCCATGGGAATGAAGGCCACATTCCTCGCAGAAAGAGTCCTCTTGGTCCTCCTCGCTCAAAAGCCCCTCGAATTCTTTGGGCTCATGGCTCTCTAAGCATTGCCCACAAACACACACTTCAATCCCAGAGTCCCCCGTAAATCTGCGGTGCCTTCCCAGAATCCTCTCTTTCTCGTCAGGCATTGCCACATTCCTTAGCGGCTCCTTCCTGCACTCGTTCTGTTTGTCCATGCTGGGAGGCTGCTCTAAGGGCAGAGTGCTCTGTGCGGATCTGCCCCCCTCTAACTCGATCTCGCCCTTGCCGTCTTCTTTCTGGTGGTACCCGTTAGAGGTATGGATGTCCTCTATGTTTGGTCTGGAACAGAGTGTGTCAGATTCAGGGGCCAATGGAGTGGTCTGTCTGGGTGCACACTGCACATCCTGCTGGTCAGTGGTTAAAGGGCTGGTGTAGGTCGGAGGGCCGGCGTTTAAGGCACTGTATGGAGGAGGGGGCGTAGCGGGCCGATGCACTGCCTCCTCATAGTCTGGAAGGAGATTGTTGGGTAGGAATCCTGAAAGATAAAGAATGGTGAGAAAATGTCGAGAATAGCTGGGAGAATTTGAAGCATTCAAAATTCAGACTTTGTTTTTGGTTGAAGAACTACATTTGTAAACATTTTAAAGGGATACTCTCATATTGTTTCAAACTTGTATAACTTTCTTATGGAAGCCCATTTCTGCCAAAATAATAATAATAAATAAAAAATCATGCTTTGGTAAATCATAATGACATAAATTATGACATTTATTAGATAAAAAGTCAAAATTATGACATAAAACACTTCTATGTGTCAAATTATGACTTTAAATTTTGACTTTTTTTCCCTCACACTAAGTCATAATTATGAGATAAAGTCATTATTATGACATGAAACATTGAGTCTGTCAATTATGACTTTCAATTTCAACTACCTCATAATTATCATAGTATATCATAGTTTTATGATAGATTTGTTTTGCTAATTTTTATTATAATTTGAACTTATAACGTTTTATCATACCTTTTTATTATAATCGACTTCTTATAATGACTTAGTATGTCAATCATGACAAACATACTTTTGAATTTCTATGCCACAATTATAGTTTTTATATCATAATTTGAACTTTTAGGCCATCATTTTGACAATTACTTAGCATGTCATAATAATGACACCATGTCATAGTTTTAACTTTTTGTCAGTTTTGACTTAGCATTTCATAATTTCAAAATTTGATGTCAATTTCGACTGATGTCATTTTTCTTATGTGGCATAAATGTGCTTCACCGCTTTCTTCCTTATGCAGAACACAATATTTTTCAATTGTTTTTGACCATTAAGATTTCCATTAAGAAGTGAAATATCACTTTAACAAGACCGTATATAGCACTTGTGTGTGTGGGGGGGGTTTGACCAGGACATTTGTTACGTGAAAGTTTTGACCAGGACATTTGTTACATTAAACACATCTGTTCTCTCTCTGGTTTTGGTTAAATGTTAACCTAAATGACGAAGACTGAACGGACATTTCATCATGGCTGTGAGGTCGGGTGGCTGTACCAATAATTATGGAATACAAACTGTATAACTTTTGTATTTTTAAATTATGTAATTAACATGATTTGATTAAAGTGTCTGGCTGAAGACTGATCAATATAATTTAATAAGGATTTATTTGAAATATTTGAAAAAAATATGGGTCACTGCAGTTTGTTTCATTCTGAAGGTATGCTATATTCATAATAACATTATAAACCCACTTAGTTACAGAGTTTTGGAGTGATACTGCAACAGTGAAAACCACCAGACCAAAATCTACTCTTACAACATTCACTGTGGACTACTGATCACAGGTCAGTAGTACAGTAAAAATGTACAATGGTCTCTGATCAGGAGGTCAACCATTCTCAGAACCACCCAAAAAAAAAAAAATGATAAGGAAAATAACTCTGAACAATAACAACTGATGTAGCCATCATAATGTGACATGCTCTCAGCATGACCTATGGGTCTTTAGTTTTAAGATATCTGGATTAGATTAGATTACAACTATGGCTGTACAGTACAGTGTACTCAGACTCGCTGAAATGTGTCTATATTTATTAATTTACAATAATAAACAAAAGAAAAACAGACACTGTACAAAAATCTTGTAATTCTATTTATCCATGCTTTTTTTTTCTTTCTGATCTACACTTCTGTTCAGAGGTTTGTGGTTAGTAAGATTTTTTTTTAAAGGGGTCATATGATGCTGCTAAAAAGAACATTATTTTGTGTATTTGGTGTAATGAAATGTGTTTATGCGGTTTAAAGTAAAAAAAACGCATTATTTTCCACATACTGTAAATTATTGTTTCTCCTCTATGCCCTGCCTTTTTGAAACGTGTCGATTTTTACAAAGCTCATCGGTCTGAAAAAGCGAGGTGTGCTCTGACTGGCCAGTTATCCAGTGCGTTGTGATTGGCCGAATACCTCAAGCATAAGACGGAAATGTTACGCCCCTCACCATACTGTGTTGATGCCGTGTCCGGCCGGAGCAACGAGACAAAAACATGAAAACCAATTACAAACGAGGCATTTGTTGCATCCAGTGGGGACATAATTACTGATTATAATGACTTATACGGTCTTGCATCGCGCCGCGTAAACATAAAACTCTGTCTGCATTTGTGATCAGAGAAATGACAAACAACAAGTGCTACTCTAC